GCCATGTTAAGAGCAGATACATTTTCATAATCCACTGAGGTTTACAAACTGTAAGGAAATCGATTTTTCTTTTCTAAATTTGTCAATATTTGGATGATGCATATACTAAAGATCAAGGGAGAAGTAATGCTTGGATATGTTCTCCCGAATTCGAAGTTCAGGTTTGATCAGTCATATTGTGACAGCCTTTACCATGTCGAGTAGGCATCGGCGAACTATATGTAGTAGACGATGAATGACACTGAAAGCTTTGTCAGAATCTCTAAGGTGCTTTATGTTTACAGGGTCCATCCTCCACCATTTCCACTTCGCCCTTTCCCAATCAAGCTGGTAAATGCTTTCGTATCCGGAGACGCACCTGCCTAATCGTTCACCATATGTAAATAGTTCCACGGGAACAGTTAAACTGATATATACAGGATGAAATGCTAAGATTAGGTAGGCTATCGTTTAGTCTCAGTTTGAGCATAGGCCAACTACTGAATTATTCATTTCAGTAGTTTGGGTAGGAATTATTTAAAGATGATTTCAACAGTATATCGAAAGCATTTAGAGAAAGACTGAGAGCTTTAGAGAACTGAATGAAACTTTTGTTCTGGACATGAAATTCTCAACTATTCTAATCATACAGGCAATCACACCCATAACTTTCAAGTCTGGTAGTTGGTATCCTATCTATCAGTCAGCTACTAGGTAAGGAAACTATTAAATAAACTTTTTTGAGTTCAGTTAATTCATGGTAGAGTACAAACGCTTGCAGATTGTCTAGATTACTATTCCCTGAATCCTGACTGTACACAATTTGGTTTCAGCCTTATGGTCTATGATAACGAGACCACCTATAAACCTGAAGGTCATGTACTTAGTCATGTTTGTAATTTAGCGTGCATAAAACTAAGTTTCAAACCGTTATGAATCATACATCTAATATCTTCTTAATGTCAGGTGGTTGAAGGCAACAGGTAGGAAGCTGTCCTCAACCTAGGTTTCGTACCTGCCGGCACTCATCAGTAAGGCGTATGGGGAAACTGATTTCTTGCGGTCCTGCAGTAGGAGACGTTACAACTGAGTTTTTCCGATCACGAATAACCTTCTATAGAACTGGAATGGACGAACCGATTGACCTTTGGTTAGTAATCAACTAGGGCTAGATAGTATGAGACTGATTATTCTTCAACGACCAATCAGTGTGTCTAATCCACTCATATAGGAGACAAATCACTGCCCAGATAGCTCAGTGGTAATGCCATGCACTAAGCTACTGAGCCACCACTACACTTAAGCCATTCATAAGTATTTCAGAAATCTTATTGGAAACAGTTATTTATAGTATCTTTAACGACCATAGGAGTCATTTTGGAAAAATATTCAAGCTTCATCAAAGTATTCATCAACCTAAAATGATGGTTGGATAGTTGATGCATTCTATACAACACATCCTTTAATGGTGTTGTGTTCTCTGAGCTTGATTGTTTAATCATGGAGCTTTCATTGTTATTCTAGACAACATCACCAGCACAAATTTCAGAAAGAATTGAACGATAAGGTTCTCTTCACATTTTATTTAGTAGCTTGTTCTAGTGGCCTTGTTTGTGATTGGTTGTTTCTGTCAAGGTTTTATCAATGTCTCCATAATTATTCCTATTGGTTATCCTGATGACCTGAAATTTGACCTTCTAGTTGTTTCTTATTGGCTCATGGACCCGGTCAATGTCAATATATCTGTTGATTGCTGAGCTGAATGCCAAGTTTTTAAAAATTCTCTGGCATTCATTCTATTTCTTCTTTCCAAGATTTTCACACTTTTTTTAGTCAATTTCATATCCACAGTTCTTTATATGCAAGGTGTGTTGGAAACCATGAGGAAACTGGTATACTCTTGGTGATTTGAATCTGCAAGACTCACTAATGAATTCAAAAACTTAACCCTTATGGTCGAAAATAACTCCACATATAAGTTGGTTGTGTACGCAAACTGGTCACCACTGGGCAATCACTGGAACGAGCTATTTCATCGTTTTTCTGAGGTGAATGGGGATTTTTCTAAATTTAGAAGTAGTATTCATCATGGACTGACATCGGTTAGGAAACCGTTGAAGACCTGAGAGCACTGGACAGCCGTTTCGTCCTAGTACGGGACTCCTCAGCCGTGCGCACCAACGACCCGGCTAGGGATCGAACCCAGAACCTCCAGGTTTCATGGCAAACGCGTCAACCACTCAGCCACTGGGTCGGTTTCCAGTGGTTCACAATTTCCGTGAAACCTGGAGGTCCTGAGTTCGATCCCTAGTCGGGTCGTGGGTGCGCACTGCTGAGGAGTCATATGCTAGGACGAAACAGCTATCCTGTGCTCCCAGGTTTCCAATGTTTCGCCAACTAATATCATTCCCTGACGAATACTACTTCTATTTCACCGTTGTTGGTATATGGCTTCCTGTAGGGATGCCTCTATATAATTTACTTGACTGTGGATAGTAGAGGAATCTATGATACACATTTCGTCCTGTTCGGGAGTCATCAGTTGCCAACAGGGGTCGAACACTTCAATCCAGTATAACAACGGAGAAGTAGAAGCACATCAACGAATAGTAATAAGTAATACCTGTTGTGCAAGGCGTGGCTATGGTGCTTCAGTGGACTGATGGGCAACGCTTTGGCATTTAAAGCCATGGTTACTGGGATCAAGTCTCTGTCACTGTCTAAACAACTGCTTACCCTGTTCACTTTGGAGGTTTATACATCTTCATTCACTAATTTTTAGCAATTTTAATATCATTCAACTTTAGTTCTAAATTAGATTATTACATATTAGTTAAATAAAAGAAAATCACTTACTGTAATGACTGGCATCAGTTGGAGTAGCATTGAAAGCTTAGGAGAACTTAACAGTAGCTGTTCTGTTCTATCCACTGTGTTGAGATTCAACAGCCCACAACTTCTTACTTTTTTCAGTACATGATCTAACACAGCTAATATCGAAGGTCTTCAGTTCGGATCTGTTTTGCTTCCGATTAGGTGACCCCACAGATGCACTGCTGAAGAGTCCCGTAATAGGATGAAATAGCTGTCCAACGCCCCAAGCTTTCCAGTGCTACTCGAACTGATATCAAGTTCGTGATGAATATTACCTGCTGTTTTGTCGAGATGTCATCTAATGTTTGATATTTCATTATTATTGAAATAGGGTGAACATAAAGGCTTTACTGACTTCTTTATCTATGCAGTTTGGAAATTCTCTCAGTTGAATGTTTTTCAGCTGTTATGTGTAGGTGAGCATCACTACTCAAACGATTTTCACATACTTAGTTTTCTTTACAGTATTATTCCCTTAGAATAAGGCTAAAGTGATCATTGAAATATAACTTATGGACCAATCATTTTATTCATTATTTTATGGGGAATCTAATTTGTAGATGACCTGCTGAATCGAGCTTCATCTTGCCCTAAAACCAGTAAGCTTCTTTTTCCAAATCATTAGCGCTGCAAGTCTTTATCAGAGTTACATCCACTATTCAATCACATAACAATCAGTCTGCCAAATTAAAGTTACCTCAGATAGTATAACCAGTAAATTATCAAATGAATTATTGAATACTGAAGTTCTAATTGATTAAACCAATCTCTTTCATCTCATATCATTCTGATGTGATTAACAATAGTGGCAGCTGACTACTTGTAAATGTTCAGTGGTATATGCACTTTGAAACTGAAATTATTCACAAAGAAAATCACCATATTAATGAAGATGAATGCAAGCAAACTGTCTACCAATGAACAATATATTAATAATACTTAATAGGATTCTGATTTCCAGTTTGAAAGACATTTTAATGCTTTCAGTTTTATGTCTAGATACACTGCTACATTGATTTGATAAATAGAGGAAGCAAATAATCATTTAAACTGAATTAAAACAATATTCTGTTGTGTAGTAAAGCATATTCGCTTTTGTTTCACTGAAGTTTGTTTCATCTGCCTCCTAATTCTTATTTTTAGAAATATAGAAAACTAAGATATAACCGTTTTCACGATGCAAACATTAGTACATAAGAGTACCATTACTCCATTGTATAAATCACAATCAATTTAATACTAAAATATATACTACTTAAATAAGTAGCTATCGCTACCGACCTTAAATTTCCTGATCTATTTTTCGTTGAGTGATTTGTACTCTCATTTCCTTGAAAACATTTTTCTGATTTTTATGATCACGCTAACGAATTTAAGAAATATATCATCTTAATTGTAATATATATGAGTGAAGCAGGTTTCAGTCATGAATAGATATCAGTTACAATACTAATGACAAATCGTTAAGAGCATATTATGATTTGAACGCTTGTTCATGAAGGGAATATACGAACATCCTCCTGTGTATTTGGGATCGATCCTGATTCCCTATTTGTTTGATCCTACCGATCGCACTGATTGAGGACTGTAAATTATCATGCTCCAGTTAAAGTAGTAAAAATATGAACGTATGCTCCCAAATCATCATCTGATCTTCAGTGACTGTTATCTGTAGTAAAAAAAATTAAACATTTTAATTAGGAGATTTTTATGAAACTGATTGATCCTTCATGACAGACAGATCTTGACTATAAATCGCAGATAACTTTGAAGCTCTGAAAGGTTCCAAATCATAGCTGGGTGTAAAAATGATGGTCTCATTATGTTAAGAATTGGTAAAGTTGATTTATTTAGTGATTTAACTTTAACTCAAAAGTTGGTTAATGACCCGCTTGCTGTGAATCCCCATATTCTTGAACCTGATCGCTCCTGAAGTCATGAAAACTTACTCTTGGAAGCAACAAGCCAGGAATAAATAGCTATTCATTGCCTTCTATTTCTTTAGTTGAGAGTGATTTACTACGAAAAATGAGTTTATATCTTTCAAAAACTTGATTCCTTTAAAAAACCACCTAAAGAATTTATTTGATTCTGAATGAATAATTAAAATTTTCTCAATGTATTCCCGTTTTTCCTTTTTATTACAGCCCAAATAGTTTCTATCCTTATTTATCAACGAATCCTTCAAGTTGGATAGTGCGAATTGGGGAGCATGATATGCTGAATGAATCTGTGGAACATTATGATATGGCTGTATCAAAAGTTTATTTACATCCTAAATATGAATGTGAGCAGTTCTGTAAAAAGCAAAAAATTATGTTAAAGTATCCATTTCATCCGAAATTTTAGACTTACAGATTGACATGTTGACTGTTCAGTACCGATAAATGGAATGTATAGTTCCTGACGGTCATTTGAGAACTACCTTTTATTCATTTAACTGAAAAAGGGATGAATAAAAGAGTAAACTTTCCAACATACTGATATTTTGAAGGGGGAGGAAGAGACAGCATATTCATACCAATAAGAATCTTGAATATGCTTGACTAAACAAAACATTACAGTATGAATAAATTGTTTGGACTAATGTATTCAGTAGTGGTCAGTAGTGGGATTCAGATGGCATGTTTCATCTCATTTGTGACTTGTCAGCTAGATACATCTTCAGACTATCAAGACTCAATGACATCTCGGACTGCTTAAAAATCCTTAAAGCTTAATTTAGAAATTTTAGATTTGGTGCTAGTCAAGATGATATTGAAAACAATTATCCTCCGTAGAACAGTCAATCAATTAGCTGTAGGCTATCGAATGGTAGTTACTAAATCTCAGTTAAACCATTCGATTTACAGATTCCTATGTTTTACTCTACAGAGTGCTTGAAATCGCTTCAGAAGAAAGAAGTCTTCTGAAGTTACATATCTAGAGTGAAACCTTATGATATCCTTTTATTTAAAGTAATGAGAATTTGGTTAGAATCTTCAGATAATCAACAGTCAGTTGAAAGCACCTAAAACCCATTCATTCAAACATCTTAGCTTTCACACAAAATAATAAAAATCAGTCTTTAGTTCTAATCAGTTTACAATGTCACTGTATGATAACACAAGCATTTCGGTGTGTAACTATGACATTGGAAATATTGATCTTTTATGGTAAATCACCACAGGTGTACAGAATTAGGGGGGTGTATGCGGTTTGATTGATTTCAAAGTAGTTTTCATTACCAACCAATATGAGTTGTAGAGAACCAGTGAAAGCTATTGCATCGTTGTGCAGGACTCAGCAGTGCACACCTATAACCTCGCTAGGGATCGAACCTAGAACCTACGGGTCACATGCTGAACATGTCAACCACTCAGCCACTGAAAGTCCTGGAAATGCATCTTTATCCTTCACTCTATTAAACTTTTTCTTTCAGCCACTAAAAGGTACCATCTAAAATACATCTTAGTTAGCGATATACTATACTACTACGTTTCTTACTTCTTAAGATTCATCAACCGCACTCCAGCGAGTAATAGTGCTCCCACTGGGACACATTCATTATTTGTTCTATTTATTCTTTCATGAAGTGCTTAATCAACAATCCAGTTTCAAAAACAGTCATCAGTCATTACAAATGGTATACCAGATGAATATGAATCTACCAGAAAGTGTTCTTAAGAATCATCTAACAGACATGACCCAAGCAACGCTTTGGCCTAAATAACTTGGTCACTTAAGTTTCAACCGCCATACCGAATCACTTAGGTTAGAAACTACTGAGAAAAGTGAGCTTTTACATAAGTTTCAGATACGTCTATCTGAAGTTGGTAACAGCAACGATGCTCAAATCAAGCCAGGCCTTTTGTCCACTGACTCTCAGTATCCCTAATCTTCCGAGTAATAAACTATTTAGTCTAGTTAATTCTTCGAGATTATTCTCGTAGTAAAGGTAAGGTTCCATTGAATCAGGTTCTTACAACTTACACAAAGATGTTGCTACTAGGCCGACTTGTAAATATCACAGTTTGACTGCTTAGGGTATTATCTAAGTACACTGAGTTTTGTCTAGATTGAAAAATGGGTCATTCGATCACTTTTTTCTTTAAATAAGTAGGAATTCATGAAATGGCTTATGGAAAACCACAGCCTTATCTCTTTTTGGCTGTGGTCAGTATTGGAGATGAGAGTAAAGTTTTATGTTTCCTAGTCAGACTCAAAGAAAACGTCCAATCGGTGACAACAAGTATCAGTTTTTAATGAATACTTGTATGTTACTTACTCATTATCAACAAGCAATATTTCGCTCTGATTTGGTATTAACAATACTGTCCACTTCCTGTGATAGAACCAACATCTTTTAATTACCTCAGTGATACAAAACTTATCACTTTGATTATATGAGTGATATAACCGCGGTTTGGCAGCTATTGATATTGCTACTAGGTGATGATTGAAGGTGAAATGAAAATTTTGGGCCACCTAAGGATTTGAACCAGCAAGCCAGTGGAGTTAGTCAAACTGATAGTCAGTATGATGCTCCAATTGTCTGATTTAGTTAGATTTAGAGTTGGATAAGAAGTCGTGACTAGGCAACCAGTGTAAGTAGGATAAAGGCGTAGTAAGGCAACACGAATTCACATGATAGTTTGGCGAAAACCTTGATGATTGAATTGAAATAAAAATCTCGTTAGCAGTCAGGTCTCGTATTATCGTTGGTAAAATACTAGGCAGGTAATCCAATAGTTGCTGGTTTAATACCAATCACGACGAAGATTCATTATTTCACCTTCAATCACCATCCAATATCAATCTTACAATTAGTTTATTAAAATGTAGAGTGTCAGGTTGCCTTTCGTGAAGCTGTGTGAACCCCTTTTAGTTCTGTACTAAGACTAGTCTTTCCACTTTTCAACTTATATATATATATATATATATATATATATATATATATATATGTAAACTCATACGGGAAGCTGAATACCTTACTGGTAAGTTAATCAGTTCGCGAGTTCGCAGCAATCAATGATGTTTTTAGTAGGATAGGAGAAATGCCTATTCAGAAAGTGTACACATACAGCTTCTTACAATAAGTAATCGAGTTATCAAATGAAGGATAGTGAACAGAATTATATCATTAAAATGCTAATCCATCTACCCTTTCCATCATAAATCAATTTTATTCTACTTTTCTTTCTGATAATAGCTGCTTCTAGCAGTGGTAATGATATCGCTTTGATTCATTTGAATGAATCAGTCAAATTGGGTAAATATGTGAATATTGCTTGTTTACCATCGTATTTCGGTGAAGATGATGAACCTGGTAAAGAATGCTATAGCGTTGGTTGGGGTCATGAAGTTGATGGTAAGTTCACTTTCTTTTATGCCTTTCTTTGTTTTCTCCTCACTATTATTATCTGTTTCACTTTGTTATCAACTTACATAAATATCATGACAGAAGAATGGATGATTTCAATCAATCTGTTATACTCATCAAACTATTGAATTCAACTGATAGTGAAGTGTTTATACACATTGAAACAAAACTCAATTATATTTCTATCTCAATTTTAACCCACCAGCTGACTGATAAAACAATAGACTTGAACCTTTGACTATTACACTCTAAAGGAAGATTGTTGATAATTACATTGTAGTTATGTAAGGAAACTTAAAGTTTGTTTGAGAAGAAATAAGCACAAATGTGTGTATCTGCAACCCGTTGGTCTAGACACTTGACTGCTAACAAGAAGGTTACAGGTTTGAAAATTAATTCATCCACTACCCTGAGCTATAGACAGTCAGTGAGGTATAAATACCCCCTCACAAAAAGTGGTGTAGTGTATGGCCTACTGCACTGAACTCAACATGATTACTGAATGCATTTCAACTTGTTCTAATCAATACAAAGTAGAAGAATCGTAGAGGTAAACATACAGAAAGCGCGAATTAGTGTAATAAATAGTAATTTAAACGTGTGTAAAGTAAATTACTGATAGACACTTAATAATCCCAAAGCTTTAAAAGATAGAATGAGATAGTGCATATAACTTATGAAGAACACTTCTTCTAATCGACAAGAAATTGAACATAAAACAAACAGTAATAATTAGAAGAAAATGGAAGGATATTAGTTCACTTATTGGGTTGAAGGAAGCAGATTAGGTTCAAACCTGTACTAAACTGTTCAAACATGAAGTGAACTGGACCACCAAAAAAAAATCATATTGTCTCTTAATAACAATAATAATAATGGCTTTATTTCTAAGGATATTTCGAGAATACTAAAGAGAATTTTCACCACGTCTTATAGCATCAATTGAATAGAAACAGTTTATACATATACATAATAAAGTGAAGTTAATATAATTTTTACCTCTTCAACAACTTTCTTGGAAATGTTGAGTTAACACTCACATTAGCAATTAGATTCATAATACATAAAGAAAAGTAAACTATATGGCAGCTAATTAGTTCGCCGTCAAAAACAGAAGTTGATGAGTTACTTCATTTTTAACACTTTCTTCCCCATACAGAATGCTAACTAAATAAGGTATGGTAGAATTTTCCTACTCAGTAGTACATCCATAAAGTCTTTCATGTTTCCTCCTGATCTTCCCTGAAGACTGATATGTAGAGAGTTTTGAGTTTCAGAGATTATGATCAGCTGAAAAAATAACTTCTGTTACATGTTTACTTCAGTTAAGATGTTTGCTAGAAGGTTTAGAGGTACACTACTAGTTCTGCTTACAGTTTTCAAAGTTCTACGCAATACATCCTACTCATTTTTTAGCAGCCCTGGATAGAATCAAAGAGAAGAATTCAGGAGAAAAGGCAATATGCAGGAGTTTATAAAACACAAAGGAAGAGGCTGAGTTATACCAGATACTCTCAGCTTCCTAAGTTAGACGGAAGGTTCTTTTAGAAAATAAGCAAGATATGGAAGAACTAGGAAAGTTCCTAAGAAGAAATACAGATCGAGACAAATCATACTTATGACCTCAAATATGCATTCATCAGAAAATGAATTATGAGAATTAAGCAGTTTACATAGGTTATGTGCATGTCTAAAACTATACTTCATAGTCTCACATTTTGAAGAATTGAACTCAAGACCATTTATGGAAGACCATCGCCCAGTAGTAACTATGAAATCATTAAGCTGAGAACAATCTGTTAAAGAGGAGATGGATATATTTGACAAAATAGGTATTAGCTGAAGATAGCGAGTTATACAGAGAGAGAAGAGACCAGGGAGAAGAACGGCGCCTTGGGGAACATAGTCATCAGTAAGTAATGAGATGAAGCACTTCACTCTATGAATAGCATATTGTTTCCTTTCACAGAAATTGGAATACAGTAAGTTAATTATCCGAATTTCATCAAGTGTCCCATCTAGCCTTTCCTGCCAAGGGGGTTTTGGGACAAGATCAAATACTAGACAGTTATCTAAAAAGATACATTTAACATACTTGGCGTTTCTATCAAGATTATAAGTAATGTTGTGATATAAAATAGTGGTAGGCATCTAGGATGATTCCTTTGCTTTCGTATACAAACTGATTATGATCCCCAAAAGCCTCCAATGAGGGTCCAAGTACAGGTGTTATTAACTTCTCTATTATTTTCAAGAACAGAGAAGTAACTGCAATCCGACAGAATTTTTAACATACATCTGAAGTCATTGACTTAGTTGCTGAGACTATCTTATGTGTTCATCTGTGTTTTATTTACTTCTTTTCTAGTTGACTATTATAGTATAACTTCATTTGAGAGTATGGAATTATAAGTATTAGGTCAATAAAAGCCAGATATAATGGTCATAAACAGTAAGACAATATATAGAAGGATTCGAACTAGGAAGATGACCACCAAAAAAGTTTATCTCTTATTCTTCTGACGGTATTTAACACTTCATAAACGAAAGATTTCGAATAACTTTAAATGTCTTCTTCAGACCCTCACTGCGACCTATACGACAAACCATTACATGCGAAAATAGTATTCACTTTTAATTGACACGATTGATATTTCGATTAAAGCATTCTGTAACCTCGATGTACATATGATGTTAAAAGACATTCACTTCATCAGGCTTAAAATAGAAAAAGATGCTGAGCTTGCCATCAGATCACCAATGAGACCATTATTGGAAGATCGTTTTGTGTAGAAACTTAAAAGTAATTGACTATCTAGCTCTCGTACTTTTACAAAAGCTGGACACATGAAGAATGACAATGATACCGATCTCACCCATACAGTAATTCAGTTTTGAGGATTGTGGGAATTTGTTGGTTTCAAGCTGCTACTCATGACGGACAAGTATCATTTAGAGAATCTGAGAGGACTGGACATCTGTTTCGTTCTAGTTGGAGACTCCTCAGTAGTGTGAAGACACTACCTCTCAAGGAACTGAACCTAGGCCCGTGAAGTTTTGTGGTAGATGTGTTCCCGTCGAACCACTGGGTAAGAACTCCATGCTCCGTGTTTTCCTATGCTTGTCAATTCGCGATATGGTTCTTCCATCATCCAACGTCATCAGTCAGCATTCACCTCCCTCTCAAAGCATGATACTGATGAACACAAACCTCCAGAATAAATCACTGGTTCTACAACTGAATACACTCCGTAAAGAATATCACCTGGCATTCAGTAGTTGTCATTCAGCACTGAAGTTAGTCTTGGGGAAGAAATCGAAGGACACGTTGAATCAGTAACCTACACAGTTTCTAAAAAGAATTTCATGCAAATTGTCCTCTGTATTTGTCACCTCTGTAAACATCTCCTAATTTACCTACTGCTATGGGACAACTTACATTAGTTGGAGCCAGAGATTACTGCAGACGTGCAGACGGCAGCATATTACAGAAAAGCTTTATAAGACTAGAAGGAAAACTGTTAGAGAATGTAATAATAATTATCACCATCTGTTGATATACTTGTAATTCGTCATCTGCCAATAGAGGTCACTCGATTCGACTCAATAAAACAACGAAGAATTACAAGTACATCAGGAAAGGGTAATAACTAATGACCATCTTACAAGAGGTGACCACCCCGCCTCAGTGACCTAGTAGATGACACCTTGACGTTTGAAGCGATGGGTGTGACGTCCGAGTTTCCCGGAGGGGGGGGACAACACTCACTCACTATCGTTAATTATTGTGCTATTATTACTGAGTATTGTTTAATTATCGATTCGCTTATTTATTTATTTATCACTTTGTTTATCATATGTTATTTAATACGTCAAACACAACAATACAACCATTCTTAGTCCTATTGCATGATCCAGTCCAGTCGACCACAATCAGGAGGATAATGGGTGACAGTAGGCAGCCTTATCTTCACAGTCTCCTATCTTCACTTCAGAGGCATCACTGAGTCTTCCAATGTGAATCACTTGGCATGTGGCGACTTCATATACTTGTTGAATGAGTTTGATTAATGTAAAATCAAATAAGCCTGTCGCGGGATGTCCCCAGTTGGTCTTCTCAATATATGCCCAATCCAATCCATCTCCATTTTCTTCCACTGCATATTTGTTGGGAGATAGCTTCTTGGTTGGTTCGTTATCAGAGTTCCTTGTTGCTTATTTTTATTATTCTCGTCATCTGATCTCATCTTCAGTATCGAGTGACTGTAGGCAGCTGTTGATAAACATCCGTAGTTTGTTGGAAGTGTTTTTCGTGACGTACCGCCAAGTCTGTCAACTATCACATAGAAGCACTGAGTCACTTGACTGACATTGGTGTTGAAAATTTGGATGTTGTTCACGCTTTGTGCTGAGTGCAGTAGATCTCCACACTGATTTCAGACTAATGAAGCCTTATCTTGCTTTTACAATGCTGACCTTGACATCCTCATCTGTGCCTGTGCCGCCTGTAGTTGAAACGATGCTGCCTAGGTAGATTTAGGTGAAAGAGACAACTTCCTTTAGGTTTCTCCTGTTAATGAATCCGGGTGGAGATACCATAAAATTATCTAGAATGAAGGATAGGTGTACAAGACAAACACAGACGACAAGATACTATAGAACATAACGGTTCACTTATTTTCCACTACCTTGAGTTTGCAAAAAGTAAAAGTACTTCAAAGTTTCATTTATGACCTCGATGCTGTGAGCAGCCTACATTATTTGCTGCATCTAGTGATAATACTGTAATGCAAATGTTGCTACTTACTATATATAAGTAGTAAAAACTTTAAATGCAAAAAGACAATGAAGCGAAAAGGTACCCATTGACAGTCGATAAATAGAGCAAAGTATCTTACTTATTTAGCGGCTTGTTACACAAGATTTGTGGATTGCAGTTTCAACAGTTGCATTTACACTACACTCAGCATCATTGAAGAATTATACGCTCAGTAATGAAAAATTTGTTATTGTCGAAATTTAATTCTTATTAAAACAGGTGCAGACAACATCTCGACAATATTGAAGCATGTTTCTGTGCCTATTGTACCGAATGATCAATGCACAATGAATTATGCAACTTTACGAAATGGACCTAATCCAATTGATGTTACAATTGAAAGCAATGTCATCTGTGCAGGACTTTCAGAAGGTGGTAGAGATGCATGTCAGGTAGGTGTAACACCTTTTTACACAAATAAAAAGAATTCTGACAGATAAAGGATGACAGAGTAGCGAATTAGCAAACCATTGCTCTCTGTTATTAATCATGAACAGATTGACAGATATTTCATTTCCTCTGGCTTTCTTTGGCTTCTCCATCTGAAGGTTGAGTTTTTGCCTTTCCCGAACGACATCATTTTTAGAAAAAAACATAGAGATAGGAAATTTAGACAAAGTACGTGTTAAAACTTGCTTTTTGATAATGTATGGTAAAATTTATTGAGATTAAGGTACAACAAGAAGTAAACACTAAATAGTCAGTAAAATGATAAGATAACAAAATAATTTATTTGACAGAAAATGAGACAACTATTTGCTTTCAGGATAGATTTACTACACAGCTGTAGACTATAACGTGCTAAACTTTCAAAGTACGTACTGTTTGATTAACATATAGTAGATGGCTGAATATCTTATGCAAGAAATGTAAGAAATCAACCTGCTATGCCAAGTATATTTGTGTTGGTTTATTGTGACTAAAATAAATGCTGTGGTGACCACATAAATCTTTTAAATAGACTTGATAGGCAATGCAGACAGAAGTATAACTATTTAAGATATATTTCTGGAAACACTTCAGTATACTTAGTCTCAGGAAACTAACTTTAACTAAGCGATCTCAGATAGGCTGTTGTTGGGATATTATTCAAACAGCTTATCCTGCAGATAGCTTCTCATATAAATGGTAACTGCATTTGAACCTACTTGAACAGTATAATCAGTTTGAAGGGGTAAAATCCCATTTAATCACTTGACATAACAGGATGTCTATACTTCAGAAGTACTTTCTCTAGTAATATTCCTGTAAAACTTGAGCACTGTGGTAGAATTTAATTCCATATTAGATTCGTTTATTTGATATACAGCACACAGTGATACAGCACTGTTTACTTCATGATGACGTCATCAACGTAAATTATCACTGCTCATAATCATATCAATGTAATCACACTAACTTCGACATCTAACTTTCATTGCAATGTCACCTGATGTGATTTACTTTTATTGCCAGCAAAGTTTCCCATATCGCTGGTATCGCTATTGCATCATTTCTACTACATATGTTGCGTGTAGACTCTATGAACAAAGATTCATTAATCAATCTCTCTCTCCCACCACCCACTTCCCACCTAATTATATTGCACTTCAGTACAATGGCTTTATCCCACACACCCTATAGCATGCTTCTGTCCTAATCCATCCATTCCAATAGCCCAGCCTCCTTCAGATCATTCATCTCATTCGGCTCTGTCATCCTACATTCAGTCAAATTCATATGTTCAGCTAATCTAACTGACACCGACCGACTACTTTCATCTATGTACTTGAAACCACAGTCATTGCATGCAATTTGATAGATTACATCATTTTACTTAACTTCTCCTATCGAATCCTTAAGCCAGCCGACAAATCTTATCTCTACCAGGTGAGTTTGTGTGTTTAAATGCAACTGCCACCCAATATTCCAGTTTTCTTGAGGAACCTATATAAAGATTCTGATGTACCTTACAAATATAGGGTAGCACAATGGAGGCTGTCAACTCCTCCCTACTCGTGTTGTCGTTATTATTCCTACTCATGTTACTGTTATCATTTCGTTTCCTCTATGTCAGTATGAATTTCTTGATAAACTGTGGAGGATAATGATTAGCTGTTAGTGCTTCTTTGACATGCTTCAATTGCCTGTTTAGGTTCTCGTACTGACTACTCGGTTCTCTAGCTCTATCACTTAGGCATTTGACTAATCCTGTCTTAACTGACATTGGATGGGATGAGATGACTTGAAGTCTAGATAGATGCCTGTTGGAATGTGTTGGTTTTGTGTAGATGGTAGTATCCAAACCACCATCTGTCCTTCATTTTATTCTGCAATCCAAAGTGAGTAACCCCCTTGAATTGGATTGTGTCCAGTAGTGAGTTTACATGTGTGAGAAAACTCTCGATATGTTCCTGTTTCAACACAGTAAATATGTCATCCACTTTCTTCAGTATATACTTCAAGGTGTAGACTCGCAAGTCAGTAAACCTACCATGAGAAGAAAGACAACAGAATCGAAGACTTGCTGATTATCCAAAGCTTCAGGATAAGAAAACTGTGGATAGAAGACATTTACAGCAGTTTGAAGTTTTCACCACCATACTTAAAGTTTGTTAGAATATCATATGTTGCATAGTAGAACTTATAGGTATTTCTTACACCTGAATGGACATCAGTCTTGCATTTATGAGTATAAAGGGACATCCATTTTTAAAATGTTACTTCTGACACAAAACTGTTTCAAAGTTCCAAATGATACCATTGAACCTTAACTATGTTATAATAGGTTGAACGCGAACCACTCAACTGTGAAAAATTCCTGAAATGAATAGTAATAATTGCAGATGATTTACAAAATGTTTGCTTAGGTCAAAAGTGTCAGTTCAACTGTCTGCTTATCCGATAATTTGATAGTATCATATTCCATTTTTGATCTACGCATTCTGCCTTAGGACCGATGTACTGTTAATGATGACAATGATAACCTTCGTCAGTGGTTTACGATACGCTGAATTGGTCTTAAAGGCCACCTTCATTCTTTCCATAGTCATCCATTCAAAATTCTTTGACATAAAAACTGATTTCTGAGTCATTCTAGTGAAGGTATTCAACATTAACTTTTCTACGAATCAAGCGTATATTCAAGAACAGGAACATGTCACAAAAATGGCTGCATAAGCAGCTAGATTCAGAAATATCAATAATCACAGGAGGGAGACAACAGCCTCAACAATTTTGGTATGGAGACTGTCACAGGCTTATGTTTAGGTTTATTGAAGCGATAGCCATATACAAATTTAAGCCTTCCTCGTTTATTCAAAAGCAGTTTATCCTTACTCTTGATCTACTGTGGTAATGCTTATCTTTACGTATTATCAAATAAGAATTATCATTTGATTATCCAAGATAGTTGTACTTTGTTAGATTAGTATTTCATACTGAGTGATGACCAAAAGTGTAATAGGACTTTGGAATGCGGCCGGATTTGAGCCAGCTACCACCGGGTCACCGACCCCATGATCTACCAACTGAGCTACGAGGTCCGACTGCTAACAACATTTTTTATTTTACTTCAACCAACAAAGGTTTTTGCCCGACTACTATGTGAATGATAATCTACATGATCTTCCGGCTCTCTAATTCAGTTACATTTCGATTGGGATAAGAAGTTTTGATTAGGCAGACAGTGTCAATACAATCAACCAATTGTAACGCATCACATATTCACATGGTAGTCGGACGAAACCCTTGGTGAGTGAAATGAAATAAAAATCTAGTCAACAGTTGAACCTCGTAACTCAGCTGGTAAAGCATCGGTCCAGAAAACCGGTAGTCGCTGGTCGTAGTCCAAACTTTCATTTCATTTTCGATCATCACTCAATAAAAATAAGAATTTTTTGATAGAATGACTTCATCAATTTATTTTTTTTAAAACTTTTTCACAGTTTGATTCTGGTGGTCCATTAATGTGTAAAGCTGATAATCAATGGGTTGTAAGTGGAATTATTTCCTTTGGATATGGATGCGGTAGAGCTGGATACCCAGGAGTATATACACGTGTTTCAGACTATATTACATGGATACAAAATGTGGCCAATACATTCACTTTCTAAATTAAACTATTAATGTTTTAATAAATACATAAATATTATACTGGATGTGAGAAAAACTTAAATGGAAATATAAATTTGAAAAATATTCACAGTTTGCCTGTTAACATTTTTTTCCATTTGAGGTTATTTATGTTTAATTCGAAGAATATTCTAACTTCACAACGTTGTCATCATTAACCGCAATCATCTAGCATTCAGATTTTCGTTATGTTCAGGAAAACAGATGAAATACAGTGTAAGATCTTGTCTGATTAGTGTATTATAGATATTGAATTTCTAGGGAGTTGTAGGGATTTGGAAATATTCCAAGTTGTTATTCATCGTAGACTGACATCAGTTGGAGGAACAAAGGGAACCTAGGGGCACTGGACACCTGTCTTGTCATAGTATGGGACTTCTCAGCGGTGCGCACCTACGACTTCTCCAAGGGTCGAACCCGTGACCTTCGGGCTCCGTGGCCAGAACGTTGGCGTTGAACCATCTGGTCAGACTTCAGTGACCCGTGTTTCCAACTTTTGTTAACTCACCCGAAGGTCGCGCGTTCGATCCCTGGAGGGGTCGTGGGCGCGCACTGCTGGGAAGTCCTATACCAGGACAAAACAGCTGTCCAGTACCCCCAGGTTTCTTTTGTTCCTCTAACTGAAATATTATAGATATATTTAAAATGATAGTTTACACTCAGTCTTTTATGAAGATTCTATTAAGTTGTGACGGACACTTACAACATTTGGCTTAAAATATTAACTATATCCTATAAATCTGGTCACTGTGTATAAACATTCATATTAAATATGTTTGTAGTAGGTAGATTCATTTTAGAGTTCATCAACCGGTAATGTTTTTTTGTTTGTTTTTTGACTACTAATGAGTAGTCAAAGTTTTCAGCCCAAATTACAGTCTGTTGAACAGCAGTTATTTCACTCAACGGATTTCGAAAGAGAAATTGAAGGTTGAATCTAAACAGCAATAATTTAGAATATTTATGAACACGCAAATGTGAGCCTTTTAAAAGTATTTGAGTATGCCTACTAGTTATTCATCGTACAAGGTGTGTTCCCGGGTAACAAAATAAACAACTATTTTGCAACACTCCATTACATTTCGATCTTGCTAGGAAGATCTTTTTCAGAAGTATGATTCTGACACTAAGTTTCCAGGTTAATATTCAAGTTTTGATACATAAGTTGACCTTCATGATTATCGAATTACGTTGTGATATGGAACAAAGAACAACATAATGTAGGTGAGTGAATTAGCGAATCGCTCAGAAAGGCTTATTCCTGTTGTGCAACTAATTAGTGTGGCACAAAAGTAGGGTGCGGAAAATTATTTCGACTATGAAAATTACATTGGAGTTGTGAATCATTTGGAATGATAATAATAATAAATAAGATATTCACCGAAGAGGTTTCTTCCCAACGAATTTCTTTTCAAGCTGTACATGAGTATATATGTATGTTATTTAAAGACTGTATGTAATCCATGAGGAAGATTTGACTTAAACATTGAGGGGTTGAAACAACAGTAATAATAATGGTGGTCATAATAATAATGTTGCTAAATAGTAATAATAATAATATATGTAATATTGTTGCAGCCAAACGTCACTTGATCTTTACCAGTCTAAAATTGTTCTCCATTTCTGTAAAAGACAATGTCTCTCGACAGGCCACATCCATGTGTATCTACCAGTTTACTTGCTCCTGTGGAGCAAGATGCATCTGCCGTGGTCACCGATTACTGTCAACACGTATACGAGAAAATATCCCGGCCTGGTTTTATAGGGGTGACAGGAAATGCATCAGAAGTTCTATCCTTGAGAATTTAATTGATTACAATCATTCAACCGACCCAAACAAAGATTTCAAGGTTATTTATCGAATTCGCCCAAACACCTCACGTTTCCTCCATGTTCAGCTTCTAAAAACTGCAGAAGCTTTGGCTATCCATGAACTGAAGCCTGACCTTTGTGTGCAAAAAGAAGTATATACAGTCTTTGTCTCTACCTTGACCTTTATATATATACGAATGTACAGCTTGAGAATAAATTCCTTGATAAGAGTCCTCTTCGCTGAATATCTCGTTTTTAATGTCACAATGGGAATTATGAAGATAATAATGAAAGTTATAGTAATAATGATAATCGTATAAAAAGCTTAGTTGGATGGCGGGAGAAATTGATGACCGAATCTTTGTTCATCGAATCAATACTAAATAACTCTCAGTAATAGCAGTCATTCCTTATGTACCCCAGATATATAGAAAATTCTACTACCCTTGTTATCACAAAGAAAGAGACAAAATTAGGACTATATAAACTGTGTCCCAAAGTTGTGGAGTTATCTGGTGTGGAAATAGACAATAAATTGTGTCTGAAACGTTATCCAATAAATGTTACTGTTTCACCGTATGACATTTCTAAAAAACATACTACAACAAAGGTAATAATAATCATAATAATGGTGATAATAGTAATAACGATAAAAGTGCTTTTACTTAGGATAATAGTTGGCGCTCCCTTCTACATAATCTATTTTGTTGTCAGTATTTGTAAATCAATGAAGTTTAATGTAATGGGATCAGAGAAGTTGGTAAAATAAAACCAACTTTTTTTGAAGGATTTAAGACAATTAAGCAAAATAACAATGTGAACTATTCAAAGATGGATACTTTTAGAATAGATCATGTATCACAGTGTAATATAAGGCTACATTTTACCTCTTCCTTATATATTATTAGGAAATGACTATGCGAATCACCAATGTTTGCCATATTTGCTAGATGTCTCATCCATCTTTTCTACTGACTGCAGAAGGGTACCAAAGCTTCTGGAATGACCTATTCTTTATGAGAAAAGAAGCCCTATTCAAAGACTTTTGTCAGTCTGAATGACATTTTATGATCTGAACATAAGGCATGATCCTCAATTGCAGAGCTTTTGTCATGTATTTCCAGATTATAGGAATATTTTGGTGAGTGATTGCAACTTCGATCATGTTCGGTTAGACATGTTAGTGATGCCTTTCCAATATGTGTGAAATCGCATTCACTATAGTCTACCTTATATAAACACAATTCTGCTATTCAAAATGGGGGATCAAGTCTTTGAATTTGCACAGGTGTGAATGTAATGTACTTGTCTCCTTAAAGATGTTGTAACTATTAAGGATACATTGACGAATAATACAAAAAAGTTTGTTTATTTGATTATTTGTAATAGTAATAATGGTGGTAATGATAAAGGTACCTATACTTATGATAACCATTGAAATATGAATGACAAAAAAATGGATTGTTATATACAGAATGGTTCTTATACTAAGCTTGGATAACAGAAGTAAAATACCCCTTATCTGATGAATCATACTAACGCTGTCCCCAAGTTTATGCAAAACATCCACTCCATTGTTGCTCAGGATACGTTCACACTCACTAGTAGTGTAATAATAATAATAACACTATTATTATTTTTATTATTATTATTATTATTTGTCCTTTGGGTTCCTAGTGGAACATAGAGCCTCAGTAGCACGTCTCTATTCCACTGTCTTCTCTGCACCCCTTTCAACCTGGCTACACGACTCTCCATGAGGTTTCATTTTTTCTTCACACAATCTCCTCCATGTCACCCTCGACTCAAACACCCAACTCGTCGTTTTTCATTCGGGTTCCACTCGAGGGCTTGATTTCGGGGATGATTTCCCCAACCGGTCGTCTCAGTGTATGCCCAATCCATCTTCACTTTATTCTACTGCACATTCGTGGAGTGATAGGTTCTTGGTTGATTCTTTCCCAGAGTTCCTTGTTGCTTATTCTTATTATTCTGGCCAGTATGTAGGCAGCAACTGTTGATGTATGTCTGCAGTTTGTTGCAAATGCTTTTGATAACACGCCAAGTCTCTCAACCATCACATAGGAGGACTGAGTTACTTGACTGACATTGGTGTTGAAAATCCGGATCTTGTTCACGCTTTATACTGAGTACAATGCAGTGCAGTGCATCTTCCTCATACTCATTTCAGGTTAATGAGGGCCTGTCTTTCCGATCCTGGCTTTGATATCTTCGTCAGTGCCGCCACCTGTAGTTGAGACGATACTGTCTTGCCTAGATAGGTGAAAGAAACTACTTCCTTTAGATTTCTCCCTTTGATGATGATTGATGCTTGTTGTTGTTAGTTGGGTATCTTCATCACCTGTATCTTCTCTATATTCACTTGAAGTCCCGTTTTCGCTGCCCTGCCTCTTCTGTCAACGTGTTAGTTTTTACCTGTAGATCATCGAGTTTGTTCAATTTAATAATAACGTATTATACAAATAAGCAGCTAAGTGTACTACCCTTTTAGGCATGCCTTATATTCCCCGACTTCTGACAATACCCATTTATTCGAGCCAACTTAGTGCAGTGGGGTTAAAACGTTGAACGAAATAAATGGAAATTTATTATCTTACCTAATAAAAAGTATCATTACTTTCAGAACCAAGTGTCAGGGATACGTAACAACTTTATTCAAACTCAGTGGAATAGCATAATATTAAAGCAAACAGCATAGAATTAATCATAAACATAAAATTTTGGGGAGTGGATCTACTTAAAGCATACTAACGGAGAGTATCAAGAAATAAAACTTAATATGAACATGAAATTTCTTTCGCTGGAAAAGATGATATAAAAATCATCTATATATGATTCAGATAGTAAAAAAATAATTCATACAAACATTACACATAAACTAACAGAAGTTGGAAATACGGAGCACTGGAACTTAACCCAGTGGCTCAGTGGTAACGCGCTGGCATCAGAACCTGGAGGTCGCGGGTTCGGTCTCTAGGGGGGTCGTGGGTATGCACTGCTGAGGAGTCCTGTGCTAGGAGGAAACAGCCAGTGCTCCCAGGTTTATTTTGTTCCTCCAACTGATGTCAGTCTACGATGGACATCAACTTGAGAAATTACACATAAACATTTGTTCATTATCGTCTCTAACAACTTGAAAATGAAGGATTTTTCATGCAGAAGAATTTCCGCACAGGAACCCATATGCCAATAGTGACCGATCAATTCGGTCCAATCAACGACGGTATCATATAAAAA